AAAGTATCAGTAATTTTCTTTTTGTCACCAGAGTGTCTATGACCTTGTACAGAGTTGTTATTGGAGTAGTTTGTTTCTCGATCTGGATGGTTTAGTTGCTAGGCTTTTATTGTCTTTATAGACATCTTCAGTGCACGGTGAAGTATGAAATGAGCTTTTAGAGCACCCCACAAGTTTATCAGCCACCCATCCTAGTAACCTTGAAAGCGACTGGTTGTTCACTTTTATCGGTACTGATTATTTTGTAGACCTTATAGTTGACCTTTGGTCGATATGACTTCCTTCTTAATTGATGGATAAATCTCATATATATATTTGTGTCATCTGAGTACCAAGCTTCTAGATATTCCCTGTCATTTTCAGTGTTTCTTTTGTCTAGGAATGGGTATTTTTCGATATGAACCAGTGTCCATAGTTGTCTGCATGTACTGATAGGAAGGAATGGATATCATGTCTTTTGACAGCCAGTTTCCGTTTCGTGAATGTGAAGATAAAGATGGTGTCCACTTTGACCAATATGATGCTTTTCACATCTGTTGGAGTTTACCTTTAAAATGACGTCGGTTTTACCTTCTTTGTCCATTGTGTCTTTCGGTTGACAAAGTACAGGCTGAAGTGATTCCGAAGATTTGTGCGTGGCATATAATTCGAAAGGTTTGAATAGTCTTGCACTGATTTCAAAGACAGTCTTCATATATGATAGGAGGATTTATTTTGTGCTTTTATTAGATAATTCTGAGTTGATTGGCTGCGTTGAGGGTAAGGATAATTTGATGAAATTTTGTGAATAGCCACTTTTGTTGAGGGCTATAAAAAGATATTTCTCTTCTATTGTCTTCAAGGCAAGGGTATTGAAGTGCTTCCTGGCTGTTTTGATTAATGCTTGTATGCAACTCCTTTTGTATACTGTTGTAATTGAGTAATAGATTTGTGTGAGTTGATTGTACGTACACTTGGGTTTCTAATTTTCCCGTGATTTTTCAGACAAGGATTAAGTCATTAATCGTCTAAATATAGAATAAACTATTAACCAGGAAGCAACACAGTAGGATGATGTATAATACTCCAAAGATTTCTTTGGAGTACTTGTTCACCTTGACATGATTTCTGCTTGTTACGTTTACTGGTCATTTCATTCACTTCCATACTTGCACTAAACTGCCTAGAAATCAAGAGATCCATGTAGTGTAGATTTCATCTCTGCTAGAAACAAAGTTGGCAAAACTTTTTCGGTGTATTACTCGTCAAGTAATATACGTTTGTATTCTACCAAGCTACTTCAACCTCTAGTCTAGAAAACGGTAAGTAAAAATAATTCGATAGTTTATGAGTTAGACAAATTATCAGAGTTATCTTATATCTTTTTATTTTCCAGATCTTATTCCTATCGTGACAAAACAACATGTCTACTGGCGATGATTTCTGCAGTTGATTATAAGTCTAACCAATAATTTTTGTTGAATCTCGTTCTCTAGGCATTCGACCCAACTCTGCTTTAAATGTGCAAATGTGAAAGCTTTCAAAATAAGGCAAAGCTACATTTCAGTGTTCCTTTATCCTTACCAGTTTTTAAAATAAAGTTGAAATCTACCACAAAATCATTCAAATATCTAATAACTATATTGTTTAATGTTATTCTTGTTGTAGAAGAATTTAAATATTCTAGTTAAGGTGTTGCCTAAATACTACTATTTGAATCATTGGAAGTGGAAGGCTAGTTAGGTCTGCCACCGATGTCAATGTACTGACACAGTTTTACACCAGGATCAAGAAGTTTTCTACAGTATGCTTAGATCTAAATGTAATAACAATGACAGAAACTTCTTTTACCATGATTCTATCATCTACTATAGATATGATATTTCATCAACTGCTAGTCAGTTATCTGTTCCAATTGTTGAGATTCACCCTCGTGATGTTAGACACTGTCAAACATATCCATGTAAGATGTACACACTTTGTCCGTGCTGAATGAGCAAATACTCAGCCTTAACTATTAATCTAACTTATCACATAGGTCTGAGAAGATTTTGACCTTAACTTCTGTATTGATTTGAAAACTATCCTATTTTCAGTCTCAGTTACTGAATTCCTATAGATAAAAGTCACATCTCTCTGACTGAAAACTAAATTAAACCCCAAAATAATTTGAAACTGCTCATTTTGGTTAGTTAATTGAAGTCTTTATATTCGTTTTCCTAATAAGAGGCTGATATTATGCGATAATAACATAAGTTATGGAATATGTTGGCAGTACAAACCAGCATACAACTTAATTCAAGAGTTAGAACTTTGAAATGGCATGATACAAAACTTCTCTTGTATCCGTTCATTTTCATAATATCAATTACGCACTTAATGTTTCATGCACAAACATTGGAACGATTTTTTTCAGAATCAAATGCAGATTAGATTTCATCATAGAATCTTTGAATACTTCTCTGATGCATTTTATTTTTAAGTGAGTGGGCGTAACTAAGTGTATCAGTCTAAGGGTGAGTGTGTGATTATCTAAATATGTACGTATGTTTAATTATGAACAAATTGATGTAAACTAATAGATCCTTAGAGGTTGTGTTAACACGTAAAACTTATAAAAGCACAGCTATACTACTTATTTGTTTTCAGTAGCTTAATGGAAAATTACAAAATCTAGTTCAGGCATAATGTGAAACTACTAAATCTCATTTGGCTTCTTTTAGTAACTTTAGAAGTGTAGTAGTTCTCGGTCGAACTCTCCATCTCACAAACAAACTGCCTGAATATTTTCACTCTGAAATGATTTTTTTTGTCTACAGGCAGTGGAAATTTATTTCGGATTATCCGTTTAACTATTCCTAAATAACAAAACAAACGCGCTGCTAGGACACTTGCTCAAGTTTCCCTAATATGGGTATCACGTTGAGAGATAACTGACCATCGTAAACTGTAAGCAATTCAATATATTTTTACACAATTTGTGAAAAATAACAAGAAAGTCAGATGAAGATGACTCCATGTATTATATAGAGTGAGTAACGCTTTCATCTAAAAGTGGAGTAGCAATCTTACAAAGGAGATTATGAGGCGTAAATTCTGTGCATATTTATTAAGACTGAAGAAGTTATCTGAAAGCAAAAAATTAGTTCATGGAACTTCATTATCGAAGCCGCGTTTTCTTCGTTACTGACTTCTAAAGACAATGGAGGCCTTGGCAGTTCATGACTTTAAATAGAAATAAGATTATACAGCTCTCGAAAAGAAATTTTTCTTTGCTGCTACATCTTCTGAAGGAAGTGTTCAATGAAAAAGAGTCCCCAAAGCGAGACTCACAATTCCTTTGATTCGAACATGACAGTTCATCAAAACTAGTAGACTCTATTAACAGAGTTCTAGGTCAGTATCTTGAAAATAGTAATTAATGCGATAGTATTATTATCTCCAGGACCAAACTTGAAATAGATTTTCTTTCTTTGAACTTGAATAACCACTATATGCAGTTTTCTCAAATCCACTTTTGTGTGAATAATTCATTACAAAAATCAAACGGAAACAGGTTGTTCAGACATCTTTGGCTAGGTCGTTATAGCGACTATTTTTGGAATTAGGTACATTTAATTACTTTGTCGGTTCAATATACTGAGATTGTTTAACATTTACTTATTTTATCTACAGACGAGTTGGTAATTTTGAATGCCGTTCACATATTTTAAAAAATATAGGAATTTTATGTAGTACCTTCAGTGTTATTTTACTGTTCTGTAATTCAGAAAGAATTATGAACTGATAATTCACACTTTTGTATATGTAATGTAATATCTCTCCCATCATGCTGTCATTGCTTAATTCACTTTTACTACAACTTATGACAGGTCGCTTAAAACTGGGGGATGGTAAAACATAGACCTTAAATCTGCACATCTGTCGGAAATATTGACAATCATCTACCATAACTAGTTTCACAGTTAGATTGTTTTCATTTCTATCCTTCCCCAGTGGAACATAGGGTTTCAAGCTTGAACTCTGAAATTTCTCTGTAGCCTTGGCGTTCTTTTTATCCGGGTGGAGTCGATAGTTTCATGCTTAATCTTTCCACTCTACAAGGACAACTATTGGCTGGTTGATGTTTAGGAGTGTATCTACCGGGAATGTAACCTGAACTACGTGTGTAGTTGGCGAGCATTCTACCATTGTAACATTAACGCAGTTAGATTGATCTGTTTTACTTAACCGTTTCCTCAGAGGATTTAGGTAAGACTAATAATTTATAGTGATTCAAAGGAAGTAATAGAATCTGTCTGAACATTCATAGAATCCATGCACAATACATGTAATACACATTCATGCATTACTATCTGAAAGGTAAGCTATACTGCGTATTTCAAGAATGATAACAACGGTTCGTCAGTAGCAGAGGGGGAACATAACTATAATAGGTAACGAGGGTAGACGGTATAACAGTCTGAGTCCCGAAAAGACTCGAACCAGTGGTCACTAAATCCCTGGCCCAAAGCTGTCGTAGACAGTTTCACGACCAAATGTAACTGCATTTAAATAAATCATAAAAATTCGAGAAAATAACTTCCACGCAAGTTGCCAATGTACACCAGTTTATTACTCGTGTTATAATTTTGTAAGAAGCTGATTGATTCTAAGGAAGTTTCTATGATGAATTAACATTAAACGGAAAGCTGTATCTTGTTTTAATTAGGCAATTCATCTATTCCAGATATAGCACATGTACAGACTCACAAATGAACAAGAATGAATGGTGTATCCCCTAACAGTTCATTTTTTCTTTTATCACTGTCTTCATATAACTTTAAAATTACTAGTAATGATATGAGCCATTTTGTATATAGGCACTTGTTAAACTGATCATCAGAACACCACAAATAGAAACCAGATCGAATGAATAACAAAAATAAAATCAACAAGAGTAAATATTGTTGCATGTGAATATTCTCTTATGTTAGTATCAACCTAATTACAATAACAAAACAAAAAAAATACAGCAATAAGCTCACGAACCGGGATAAGTTTTGACGAATCGATACAGGATTGTGTGGAAGAAAGAGAACATTTAAATTATGACTTCAAAATATCCTGTTCAACAGATCCATATAATTATATTGTGTGTATATAATATAGGAGTAAACATTTAGAGTTACTTCAATTTAGACTAGGTTTTGGCTTTTACGTCTTTTTCAATACTGATATTTAATGGTCCAGTGAATCCTGGATTTTCCATTTCCAATTTTCCTTCCTATAACCGAAACACAAGTGAAAGTGATACTTTTTGTACTATGTTTAGCATTAAATTGGTGCAATAATAATAACACTAAAAATTTTGTTAGCACTCTAGTTATTGTGTCAGCCTTGATTGGCAGACACATGTAATTTCGATTTGACCTTAATTATTAACTAGTGTAATGCGTCTAATCCTTTGTTTGGTACAGATCGAATTCTGTCAGTCAAGTTTGTAATGTGGCTCGTTATCACAGCGCACTTTGAATTGTTCATATTAGATGGTTCGAGGCAATCGGCAGGAAGCCTTAGACCTTGGGTTTCGTGCTGGTTGGCACTCGTCAAGAAGGCGTATCTGCAGCCTCCAATTCATTCTGCACCAGACAAAGGACCAGACGCATGACACTAGTTACTAACTACCTAGTGTCCAATCAAAGTACAGTCCTACAGGAGGTCAGTCGCAGGTCTGAATAGCTCCATGGCGACGTATCTGACTACAGCACTGATTGACATGGGTTCGGATCTCAGAAGGGACATGATTTTCCTCGAGGTTGCAGACGCGCCTTGCTGATGAGTTCCAACTATCACGAAACCTAGATCGAAGGCTTCTTGCCGATATCCTCCAACCATGCAACTGGAAGGAATTAAAACTTTGTATCACGAAGGATTTCACATCAAAGTCTCTGATGTTTCCTGTACAATCAAATTTGTCACATTTAACATCTCATCAGCAATCGTAGAACTTTCAGTTTTAGCCTGTTATTGTAGAAATAAGCTCTCTAATTTTGCATTACCTACAATCCATTCTTATTATCTGTTCACTGCTTGAGGTAAATAGTTGTAATACATATCAACAATACATCAATGGTTGATACTTTTTTACTATCCATGTCTACGACACATCAATAACGTTAATATATAATATATAAAATATATATAACTACATCCATGAGCAGTCTACCAAAAAGATGAATCACTGTGTTAAAGTACAACCCTTATTTTTAATGCATGTGGCATTATCTCGAAAATAAATGAAACTCGTTTCTGAAGCTCTCAAACGTATGATGTATCATATCAGTAATACACATTCCTACTGAACCAGTGGGCGGTTAAATTCAAGTGTTATGTGTGAGGCTGTTGTTCGCATATAGCTATGCATCACTAGTGATTACTAACAACAAGAAAGTTCCTTAAGTGACTCCCTTCAACAGATTACTTTAAGGCATCTACAAGCAAATACATGTTTTCCACCATTCCAAACTGAAAGAATCACCATGTCCTAAAGATTACTGTGTTACCTCAATCGGTAAAGTTTCTACCTTATTTCAAACAAAGATTAGGTAATACATTCTTACTTACCAGTTTTAGGTCAGGATACAGCATTTTAGGGGGACTATTGCCTCTTTCAAGAACGTCTGAAAATCTACAATTAAACAGGTAAAGGTAAAAATTAATTTTTTTTTAAAGTTTTGTATAATAATAAAAAATTCTCCAGTTCTGAGTTTCATTTTCAGTCAATAACTATCAGGTAGAAAAATTAAACTGGTTGGATCGAGGACTGACTAGACACTGAATAATGTAACACAGCATTCTAACCAGTTACTTCGGTACAATAATTCAAGTCATTTAACAGAATGAATTCTAAATATTTCTTTCAAATCTCGTCAGCCTATTTAAAGTAGTATATGGATGAAGTGTAAAATTTACAATCACAATTTAGTAAAAATTAGAATTCATGAGCCATTGAATCAGGTCCCAGTGGCTGAACGGTATACGAACTTTGCGTACCATGTTAATCAAACTAGGATGAAATAGCTGTCCAGTACTCCTTGGTTATGCACGATTGAAAAGTTGGCTTTAAAATACAACAGTTGTCATCCCTATCATGTTCTTCAGTTGCCATTTCAGAACAGAATGTGTAATTAAAAGGTATTTTTCAGAGACATTAACGCATACATTTTTAAGTGAGGAATCCGTTTGCAACAAATCTCCTAAAGCTCGAAATGAAGATATTACAACGAATACAAACATCTATACTGGATACATCACTGTGTTTGTCAGTTACTTTCAACCATCCACAATCAACTCAAAGTGTACTGTAAGAGGGAGTTTCCTAGTTTCATAACCACATGACATATTGGATGGATAGAATTCAGTTAGGAATGAGAACTAGGTGGAGTTGTATTGGTTGATTCTCAGTGCCAGATTAGTGGATGTATGCATTCAAAACGTCACGGTTGAATCTTGATCGAAAGAGTTGACTAATTCGTTACATTGAATTTCGAGATTTACATATATCTGATTTTTTATGTTCCATTTTCCAAATTATTGTCATACACAGTCAGAAGGTGTATACATTAAAAATGGAACGCTAACTCCTTGAATATCACAAGTAAACTAAGAAGTAATCCAAGAATTCGAATAATTATCAGAAATGCAAGCACTGTTTAGCAGATTTATTCTTGTCACATTTAATAGTTTCTAGAAATGAAGATTACGCTATAACTTACGTGTATTCAGGCCCTTATACATGGTATGTAATGGTTGGCTGATAATTAGATTAAAGAAGCAGTTTATTAATTAATTTATTAATGAATCCGTGGATGGCCATCGATATAGTTGTCAAGTCTATAGCACTGAACGAGGACCTCGAAAGAAAGGCCCAAGCATATTGCATTCACCAATGTTTAGTGTTAGATGTTCATTACTGAAGAAATTTATCCGTAATGTATTCCTGAGAACACTGACAAAACTTAGCTCCTCTTAGAAATGTGAACTTGCATTACTCTATAGAGAAGTTAGAAACATTAATGACTATCCTATACATGACTACCTGTTTAAGTGTAGAAACAGTTACGATTTAAATTAAATTTGTAATTTGCAAGTTACACAGTTGGAGGTCACGTTTCATCACAGTTTCATTTGGAAATCAAAATAATTCATATCACAATATGTGGTCTGTTTAAATAGCTAATTGCGGATTCGATTTAACGTATTACCAGTTCGCCAATGTAGCTAACCGGAATTCAGGTGGTCTGAACTCATATGACTCTCGGAGCTGAGTCAAACTGCGTAAACGGCTGCAAACAAGTGAAACAGTCGTCTACCATGTAAATCATTCTGATTTGGCTAGCAAACACTCTTGATTGATGTGAGAGGTGAGAACATAAATTCTGAAATTTCAAAAGTGTAAATAAATATGAGTGAGCAATAAAAGCAGCCATAATGCTGTGTTGTGTTGAAATGAGTGATCTTCGATGACTCAGTCCAGCGGAACCCGAAAGCACACTAAACTACAATCCTATTGAAAAGCTTACTCAAGAAGCTTACAGTCAACCCATGAGTTTAACTGGTGGATGGTGACTAACACTGGAATCCAGGATGCACATTTCGTCCTGCTTGGGGCTCGTCATCTGAACGTGCCTGCATTCCACAATGAGTGATGATCTTCCCACCGAGGATCGAACCCAGTGCCCATAGTTTCATGCACCAAAGCGTTATCCACTAGACCACTTGGGCAACGAGAGCCACCTCTTTTGCAACCGGTCATATTAATCATTTATTTGGGCCTCGGTGGGAACATCATTGCTCACTGGGGAATGCAGGTACATCCAGATGACGAGTCCCGAACAGGACGAAATGTGCATCCTGGATTCCACTGGTAGTCACCATCCACGAGTTAAATTCTAACTACATGCCCAGACATCGTCGAAGCATCTGCACAAGAAGCCGACATGTCAACCTGAGACCGAGTACTTCGGTCCAATCATTCGACGCGAAAAGCTAAAATTCAATTAAACAACCCATGAGTTGTTTGGATTACTCTACAGAAGGCATACAGCAACCACTAAACTGCAATAAAATCAGGATACCCTTCAAATCACATTTTTACACATAACTGGCAGAAAATTCAAGTGTTTACGCTGTATTATACTATTAAGTACTTCCTTCTTCTGGAATATATTAGAACTGTCTCTGTTAACAGTTATCCAGTGGTGAAAAATAAGAAATTTCAGGGCAGCATTCAGAAAAAATCCCCTATTAAAATAAAAATCAAAGTTATTGATTTCTTTAGCAAAACAAAATAGTCACATAACTGGTTTGGTTGACACTGGAAACGATTACTGTGGCATAAGAATTCAAGAATGCCAATACTTCTGAAAATGTAGGACTAGGCAACCGTTTCATTGGTTGGTTAAAGAAGTAAGCTAATTTACCACACTCATATTGGAGGAGGTAATTACTAATATATGTCAATTAATTTCTTCATATGCATATAAGTTTTCATACATACACGTATACAGAACACAGGGACAAACAAAAACGCTACACTTTTCGAAGCAATAACTTTTTTTAATTCACGAAACTAATTGTTGTTTCGAAAGAGGAATCAATAAACTCTTGAATATACAATGTTTTAATAACGCCTTTCTGTTCGAGTAATATTTTCCTGATATAAAATTTAAATATTTCTTAGACAGGTGAGTATTCCGCCTAGCTCACAACAGTCACGCTTTCTGACACAACTACACACAAATTTCTAGTGTTTTCCGAAGGATCCTTCTTACATGCTGAAGAAGAAAAGACGTCATACTCCTATTTTGAACCTTTAGCTAAATATATGTTGACTGAAATTCTTTTAATCATGCAGGCCTTGCTCTGAAACATACTTTGCAGTAAAGTAATACAACAAGATCGGAGATCTTACAAACCATGGGAATCGGTTAATAGTATGGTTAACTCAAAAGAATATTCAGTTGCCTTGACAATGTGATGTTGTTTAACTTTAAAAAGAAACCATCGAATTAGCATGTCATTTTCAGTTAGAAAATGTATTTTAGATATATTATTTGTTGTCTAGGTATCCAAAGATTCACAGCTCAATCTTCTGAAGTGTTAAGGATATGCCTCATTGAAGAGTATGTAACTGGGATAAAACATTTTATCAGTACCCCCTGATTTCAATGATTCTATACGAAACCAACGAACTGACAAATCTCCACAAATGCAATAACAGTTTCTATCTCGTAAATTTTAACCTTCTAGAGATTGAAGAATAGAAAATTAGATGGAAGACATTTATTTTTGGAACCAACATTTTTTTCTGGTAATCGCAGGAGTACACACTCTGGGCTTTATATATATATGACCTATTTTTAACGACCAGTGAATATTTGAATTGAATAACAAAAGAATCTTCCCTTTCGTCAGAATGTTTAAAGTTTCCATCTTATTATTTTTGGCATAGTTCAGTGTCTTCCCCTTCAAGGGATGGATGGAATTATTTCATGCTTTTTAGTGAAACGTGATAAATATGTTGCAAAAAATTCATATCTGTTAATAATACGCTACCAAAATAGAAAAGTGTGTTGAACATAACTCAAAGCAACATTTAGTAGGGTAAATCAATCCAGTGAAAGATCAGCAGAAATAACCTTACTTTGCATATCGAAACAATCGTTTCTTATACACTTTACCCTCTTTTAAAGTCACTTATGCATAGAAATAAACAAAATAAATTGAATTTTACACTTCAGATATAATGATTTTTGAGGGCATTGATTAGATCACAAAAGCCTTTTAAAAATTACTAATAATACCCAAACAAAATATTGATCATGGATATATACAAAGTGTTGACTCTGATAAGGATATATTATTTAAATATTTGAAAATGAGTGTTAGTTGATCTCATTTTGGGACTTCCAAGAACAAATTAATAAACAAAATAGACACGTGGAGTTTTACAGTGACAAAATTGTATAGTATAATAGAAAAATTCACTAAAAGGGTCGAAGCACCGGTAAAATTATCGTGTAATATAGCCAACCACTGCTACTGATTTCCAGTAGACTGCTCAAAAATAAACCGGCCTTTCTCTTTTTTGAGGGATCAAAATATTGAATTATCTAGATAATCAATAGCTATGTAGCTGCCTGATAGACTTGGTAACTTCCCTCAATGGCATTCTTCGTCTTATCATAGTAAATTATCCAAGAAGCCCCTTATTAAACTAGCTCCCATAGTTCGAATCAGTGCATAGTACACGTTGTGTCTAAAACGTTTAACTGAGTAAAGATGTCTATTAAAAATTTCAAAAGACTGATTACTGAATAAGAAAATATTCTTTTTCGATAACTTCGTCATAAGGTTCTGCAGTTATATGCCCATAATAACTGAAGAATTATTGTTAGTAAAGTTTTAAATAAACTCGAATCGATAATATCAATAGATTACAGTTCAAAAGCATCTGGTGGTGATAATAGGCATAAAAATGTAATACAAAACTGATTATCAGACAAAATAAGAAGAATGATAGAGAGTTCAGGAATTTATAGATTTCACAGTAGTCAAGGATAACAATAGTATCTGGACCTATTTCTTTGGCACACAGAGCTGTGGTTGTTTAAAGCCAATTGAAATGGTATTCAAGTGTTGACTTGCAGGCATTTGATTGGTTTCAGGATTACACCATTAAGCAATATCGGTTAGAGGACTATGAGAAAACGTGGAAGTGATGGACAGTTGTTTTGTCATAGTTTGGGACTCTTCGATGGCACGCACCCAATGAATTTCAAATCCAGGACCTTCTGGTGACAAGGCGAGCTAGCTCGTAGACCATTAAGTCACTGGCACCCAATGCAATCGTTCATGAATTCCAACTTCTGCCAATTCAGGATAAGGTATTCTAATATATTAATATTGATGGTTTTTACTACACCATTACTTAACCATACTGGTAGGTTTTCTTGAGCACAAAAAATTAAGTTTCTAGAGCAACAGCCAACAGCAAAAACACCTGTATTATCATCGATATTATTGTCCTGGTAAAAATGGCTGGTGTGAATATAAGGCTTCGGTGGCGAAGCCACTTTGCGCTCGGTTCTCAGCCATCGCTTTCAACTGGTTCCACGACTGCTCACTGGTTACCAGTTCCTGCACATACGATATTCTATATGTCACCCTCGTCCACCAAACTCATCTGTTTCTATTAGGGTCCCACTTGACGGCCTGGCTTCTGATGTTACTTGACGGCCTCCCCAATGTATATCCTACCTATCTTCACTTCCCTTAGCATATTTGTTGGTTAGTAGGTTCTTGGTTGGTCCGTTCCCGGAGTTCCTTCTTCCTTATCGTATACGGCCATCTGATCTTCATTACTGAACTACGGTGGATGTTGATGAAAGTCTGTTTCAGGCTGTTGGAAATGCTTTCAGTGACGCATCAAGTCTCTGAGCCACATAGAAGTAGTAACTTAAAAGACATACGTGTAGTGTTTCAGAAATTTTTTACTGTTCTAAATAGTTGACCACGGATGTTTCATAAAGTGCTAAGTGTCTTCTTCAGTCATATCTTTCCTGTTGTTTGTCTTCTGATAAGATATGAAGTAAGCGGCGTATTAGAATTTTCCATGTAATTTTGGTCAAAAGTTGTAAAAAAACTTAAATTATAAGAAGTATGAAGTGAATAAATTGGCCAACCCTTGCAGTACTTCCAGCACACCTTCATAAACTCTTTCTTGTTGTTCTCTAAGCTTAAGATCATTATATATATAAAGCCTATAAAGAATTAGTGATGATAATTTCCCTCAATGCATTAGTCAGTGATTCAGTTTTGTTTGGGTGTCAAGAGTGCACATGAGTCTCAAAGTGTAAATCTAATTTCAGGTCATTCCAGTTGATAATAAACGCCGCTATTAACCGAAACATTTTCTGCTTATATACTTTGACTGAACTAACAGAATGGCCCAACTGTTATATACATATATATATATATATATATATATATATATATTCATTTATTCCAGTGATTTTTAGTTATCGAACTCTATGAACTAAAACTTTACTAATTATCGACATTATTATTGTCCCACAAAATTCCCATCTGATCAATATTGCTTTATTTGAAAGGCTTCATTCAGTAGTAACAAGAGTGTTCTTTGTATACAGTCAATAAAATGCTAAACATTGTACTTTTAAATTTCAAGTGTGTTGGTTTCGCAGGAATTTGATTGATTTCAAGTTTCATTGTAAATTGAAAGCGGTTAGCCAATCATACAATGCATTGTCTTCACTCATTTCTGGAAATGTCAGTGAAATAAACTGAAAAGTGTGTGAAGAAATTTTTTTTTAAGTTCACCTAACTCTCAGAAATTTCACTACCTTGAAGTCAGCGGTAAGCAGGAGTCAGTAGCCAGTATCCTCTAGCATTCATCATACTAATCTTTATTATACATGGAAAATGGTACATTTTGAAACGTGCCAAGTACGTGAAATGTTTAAAGCAAGCAATAAAGGTTAATAAAGCAGGATTTAATGAATTTATCAAATTTCAGTAGGACTCGTCAGCTGAATACTCTGCATACAACTACATATCACTTTGCCGTTCAAAGGAGATGATATACAGGAAGTAGTCAAACGAAGACTCGACAAAGCCATCAAGAAAGCTTACTATGCTGCAAAACTTGTTTTCCTTAACACCACCAAGCGAGTGCTTCAACAATCTGGGAAAGACCAGTCGCCAATCCTCGACACTTCAAACTGCGTATATCAATTTGAGTGTGTTTGTGGAAGCAAATACATAGGTTGTACGGAAAGGCGACTGTCTACTCGCATGATGGAGCATTTGCCAAAATGGTTGAAAACAGCTGAGTGCAAAGTGCCAAAAATCCTCAATAACAAAACATCTCGTGGATTACGGACATGATATCGACGCGGTCAAGTCATTCACTATTGTCAGCAGACAAAGAAACAAGATGCTTCCAAATGCAGAGGCTTGCGCAATTCGATTTTATAAACCAGGTCTCTGTGTACAAAAGGAGATGGTCGTGGCTCTGAATCTACCATGGTAATACGCTTTACTTATTATTCTACCTCTTATTATTATCATTATTATAATTCTTGATTCATTTAAAACTATCCTTTATCAGTAGGATTATCTTAACTCACTTCAACACTATTATTATTATTGTTATTATAATTATTACTACTGATTTTACTCTGTTTGTTTGTTATATTCTCTAATGTCTAATTGTTTATCTAAGTAATGTAATTGAAGCGTAATGCAATTTATCTTAATTTTTATCTCTCATACTCTCTGTCCCCTTATCTATTTGAACATGACCTGGAAAACATTCGCACCTGTCTTTCTGCATGACTAATTCAATGTAGTTTGTTTACTTATCAGTCTTATATCTCCCAATGTAATTTCAAAAGTATATATATCCGTGTATGTAGAGTATTCAGCTGACGAGTTCTACCGAAATTTGATGAATTCATTAAATCCTGTTTTATTAACCTTTATTGCTTGTTTTAAATTCGTATCGGGAAATAAATGTTTTCAATTCTTGAAGAAACGTGAAATGTTGCCTAAAACAAGTTCTTTAACAAGTAGACTAGTAATCCATATTGTCAGGTTGTTGAAGGTAAGTAGGAAAAAACTGTTAACCTATGTTTCGTTTTGGTTGGTACACGAATCACATATCAGTTAGTAGACAAGTTTCTGACTGTAGTGTTGCAATTTAGGCTGCAAATCAGTCTCACTAGTGAGCACCAAGGAACTTCTGTCTAATTTAAGAAAAGTCACCTTTTCTGCTTGCTACGTCAAAGGTCGAAGATGAAACTCGATCACGATTTGGAATAAAACAAAAATAGAAATACTTAGTGTGAAGTGACCGATTAGATCAATTGACACTTTTTTTAAAACATGAATTAATAATTGTTTCCAGAATGCATTTGAATTACTTTGAATCAGCCAACATTTGTTGTTTTTGATGCGTAAAGTGATAACGTTGAGCAGATGTAGCCAGAACACGATCTCCAGGTAGACAGCCACTTCCATTACCAATAGGCTTTTCAAAATCCTCTGACTCTGGATCACTTTGTGTTGACCTTTATTATTTAAACAACAACAAAAAAAACAACCAAATAATTTTCAAATAAACTTTTTAGGCTGAATTTTCTATTTAAAGCGTTTATATCAGTTGAATACTACATCTTGATTTATTAGTTATCTTGCACAAGTGCTCGTCTCAATGGCATCACTGTATAGTTTACACGATGATATAGTAACCACCCCTCATTCAACGACAGCTCTGTAGGTTAAGGGACACTGTCGGTTGACCCAATTAGACAAAATAAAATAATTTACGCAGTACCTTGCAATGACTGTGAGTTAAGTCAACTACATAGGTCAAACTAGTAAATCGGAGGTAGTCAGATTGTCAGAACATAAGAATTTAGCTTAGGTTTGAATGATTGACCCTGCAAAGATATGTAATTTTAAAAAACAAACTCAGCAATTGCACTGCATGCATTAACACACAACCACACAATCGGGGGGGGGGGGGACAGAGTTAAAATTCTAAGAAGTAATACAGGTAGGTGGAAAGAGAGGTTAATTACTGAATCTCTGTTCATCGAATCTACACCCAACACATGTAACAGAAATGACTCATCACCAATTCCAGAGATATGGAAAATACTACTGTGGTGAGAGCTGGCTGCTAGCCAAATTGGTAGACAGTAATTGACGTCAATGTGTACGTTCCCAATATTGGTCATGAGAAAAATAAGAACAAAGACTGATTTAACAATCAATCTCAGCAGACTTTGCGTAGGCGGATGCGATTTGCAGATAGATAATCTGAACTTCAATAAACGGTCACAAAGAGATGAAAGATTAACATTCAGCGAGAAACTACCAATCAGAAGACTGTGTTTGTCTGCTTACAATAATCTATAATAATGTACATGAAAATCTGTTGATTTCCTAAATAAACGATCTGTTGCCTGGCCCTTGTCTTCTGTTGTAACAATACTACTTAGCACTTAACTGCTGATTTACATCAACCAGTACCATCTGAATAATTCTACTTTGTGAGATGAAAATGTTAGGGCATACGGGTGTGGTGGGTACTACTAACAAAATTTTGTAAGTAGTATATTGGGTGTGAAGCCTTTTGAATTACCGTGTTTTTCGCTGTTACACAGGTAGTGAGCTGGTTTCAATTTTTCAGACCACCTTAATTTATTCAGAGAAATATGAAAATCACTTAGAGTAGCAGCTAATTGCTTTTGGTGTTCAAGACTATTTTTTGTCTTACATTCAGTTCACTTCAAAGAGTAACACTTTTGCCTGATGACTAGATTTTACTGTAGGGTGAAGAAATTGTATAACAATACATGAATGGAACAAGAAAAGTTATAAAATGCCGTTTGTATAATCTTAAGAGGCTTTAAACTGAGATTTCAGTCTAGACGTCCAGTAAAATCTGACTGGTTTGACAGTGTGCCCCACAAGAATACTCTCTCTAACTAAAATCTTCTGTTATTTTTATATTTCGCCTTACATTTCTTCAAACTATTTCCTTCAATTTATTCCTTTTGTCTCTTTTCGTTGTTATTTGTAGACACTAACTTGCGATCTGCGTTTACCGTTATGGTTAGGATGCTTCTAAATAATCAGGTTAACAACATTTCTGCACATTTTTAAAAACATGTTTTCATAATCATTCCAAAATTAAGAAATATGTACACATAGCGTCGTTGCTTTAAAAGCCTAGCGATTACCATTTGACCTCTATCCCACTCACCCCAGCAGAAACCATTCACACAAAAGTCAGTCATCACGATGAGAAATAGTTAACACATTATCTCTAAGATTATATTTTTAGCTGGTAACACGGAATACACGTTAAAGAAACTCACCTAAGATTACACACTAGAACGAGTAGACAGCATATAATTATAATAAGAATAGCGATTGAAAGACCAAATCCTGTTTTACGGCATAGCACGCAGTCCAACCAAGTATACATGAAAAAAAATTGAAAAAGATGATATATTTATTATTTATGCTGGTGAAAGGAATCTGTGTAAAATTATACAACGAAAAGAAATGACTATAAGCTTGGTCGTTTCTTAAGTGAAAATTCAAACTTACTATTCTAGTAGAAACTGCATGCTTACGTCTAAAGAAATTTGAAAATATCTTACCTGGTAAAATATTTAGAAATGCTACTATTTGATGATTTCAGTTACAACAGATGACAAACTGGTTTTTGGTTTCTTTTAGTAAGCAGTCTGTGACTATTATCTGGAACACTGGTCAACCGGAGCTTAGATTTAAAGAGGATTCAGAGGCTGATGAAAATAATGACAATGAAATCTATCATTTGACTGTTTACTTTTATGATTAATATTATTATTATTATTGAATTTTGATGGCTAACATCACATAGTAGCAGCAAGAATCGGAAAAGCAAGACAAGCTTTCACTACTCTCAAGTCTGTGTGGAGATCAACACTACTCAGAAAGAAAAATAAGATCCGGATTTTCAACTCCAATGTGAAGTCAGTGCTACTATACGGATCAGAGACTTGCACTGCGCGTCATAAAGAGCATCTCAATCAAACTACACACCGTCATTAACAGCCAGCTGTCTTCGCTCAATACTCAAGATCAGATGGCCGGCCAGAAAAGATCAGCAACAGAGAGGGATCTCTGGCAATGAGCGAACCAACCCAACAGGAACCGATTGTGAAACAAATAGGCAGGAAGAAATGGAGATGGATTGGCTGGCCATACTCTGAGGAAACAAACCATCAAGTGACATCACTAGACAAGCCATTGCTCGAGTGGAACCCGGCCGAAAGGGAAGCGGCGAGTTGGTCGTCAGTGCAAGGGTGACTTGGAGGAGGTCATGTGAAGAGGAGATGAAAACGTGTGGGCAGACATGGAGCCAGGTGAAAACTCTAGCAGAGAACCGAAGGCAATGGAGACGCACGGCTGAAGCCCTATGTTCCTCTAGGAATTAAAGGAAACAATAATAATATAATAATAAGTTTACTGGCGCATCTGAGGCTCATTGATAGAATTTTCTTCAGCGACGCCAGTAGGTGAGGTTTCGATGCTTGACTCACGTACTGCTAAACCTCATTTGGTTCACTAACCAACAGTAAGCTCGTAATAAAAGTGAAGTTGGGCGTGTGGCTAGTAATCCCCCCCCCCGAATAAATTCATTATCATTACTGCTAAAGCTTCGTAGCTTAGGGACGTGAGTTTCTCTCGGAATGCAGTCCTACGGATGCTAACGGTGAGATGTAGTTACATCCCAGTGGTGTGAACTTGAAAACGCTAGACTAGCATAGAAGCAAGTGTTGCCTTCTTCTGCTACCATTCTAACATTTGTACAAATCGTGCTATTATCAATACCAATTTCGTTGCCTACTCAGTAGTTTGTAATTAAACGTTATCGTTTCATGTTTAAAACATCTGAGTAAATAATAGTTCCTTTTTTGGAGCAAATTATTTACTCACTTTCCTTACAACACCATAATCGATAAATACATTTCGAGGAATCAATAGTTGGTATTGCTTCTGTGGCAATTTTTTTACGAACTTGCTTAATTCATGTCGAAAAAGTTAGTTACTTAAGGTATTACATAGACATGTACACACACACACACACCAAATAATTCTTGTACACATAGATTACGTACTTACTATATGAGAAAATTAAGACTGGAACGATTTGGAGACATTTCAGAGCATTATAGTAAAATCTGAATTTTACAGCAGAGAATTAAAAAAAAAATGACACTATCAGATTTTACATAACTCTCCAGAACACAACCCTGTAGTTTGGTTGAGTGGCATTTGGAAAACATGATGTCTGCGGTTTGAAAACTGTGTTCAGTAAAAAGCATGAGAATTTCATACATTAATTCTTTTTTTCTATTGGATAGATCACAACTGTTATTTGATGGATGACATTTCGAACACAATTTATTGTTCATAAGTATATCAAGTAAAACTATACAACTTCGAAACTTCAGTTTTATATAGTTGTGTCTTCGAAACATTATCCAGTAGATTGTAACTCATTGACTGCTTTTTTTTTTGAAAGTGCCTCCTGAACGATGTAATTACAACATTGATACATGTTTGGATATTTCAACTAACTTTGTAATTATTTTCCTCTTTTATTCTAGGCTATATATCATTGTTCTGACGTCTGTATATCATCTGGTGGCCTATTATTTGTCTTTATTCCTGTTTAAACCAGACGGTAGCATAAAAAGAAATTTGCATAGAAAAAGCACTTGGATAGGACAATATACACACTTTCACAGCTTCGTTCTTATCAATTACAAAAGAAATTTAGTGAAGACCCTTAACCACAGAGTTAGAGCTATATGCCCAGAAGAAGTAGTTGAACATGAATTAAGCATTATATATGATACTTTGATCGAAAATGGTTATCCTGACAAATTTATCAAGAAACATATGACAAAGAAAGCGGAAAAGGACTACTCACTATCCGTAAACAAGAAGCCTCTTTATTTACGACTGCAATTCAAGGGCGATATACCAAGCGAGATAATTACGAAGAAATTAAGAAAATCAGTTCAAAGAACTTTTAATGCTGGCGAACTACACGTATTATTCTCTACACGACCGATGAGGCTACCTCGACTGAAAGATGAAGTACCTAGACTAGCCACTTCAAATTGTATTTATCAATTGTGGAGCGAGTTATGTTGGCCGTTGCTTAAGGAACTTGATTTTTCGTGCTCGAGAACATATCCTACTATGGCTAAGTAAAGGTGTAGTGAAAACTATTAACAGCTCGATATTAGACCATCTGGTGCAAACCGGTCACAAAGGTAGCGCAGAAGCATCCTTCTCTATAATATACCGGGTGCCTAACAAACTACCAAAATCGTTGAAGCACCGCTTGCTCCAAAAAGAAGAGGCTATTGCAATTCACCTCAAACAACCAGTGCTATGTGTTGAAAAGAAACAAGTCCAGCCCCTACTACTGCCCTGGCCCTCAGTAGAAACTATAAACTCATGAATTTGTACTATTATCTTTCATAATTCTCCTGACATTCAGCTTATTTTATGTTGATGCTGTTTAGCTGTAACCTATCAATATTATTGATTTGATGTTATTTAAACATTAATGTCGTTCATAAGACTAATTCATTCATTCATTATAATATATATATAATTGTAGAACCTGATAATGAATTTATCGAAAAGAGTACTCTTTGTTCCGTGTCCACTCTTTTGAAAATTTTAATGGGCATTTTTAATCAGTTTAATGTTTCTCTTTGTGATTGTCCGATGAGATACTGATAGTGCGTCTTTGCTGGAGGGAATCAGACCTTGGACTGTCTGCCAGTATTGTTCTTACTGACAGAGTTTCGATCCCACCTTGTTGGGAATATTCTACCTGATTCTCAGTTATTTGCTGCAGTTGATTTTTGGTTAACTTTGTTCTTCACTAGTTGTTTGTATAGTGAGACGCAAAGATCGGTTTTCCACGTTTGGACCTCAACAGGCGGGTTTCGGCCGTTTCATAGGTAGTACTATAACGGCTAAAGATCTTCGCGTTGTGTTACTTCTCGCCTTCCGTATTGTGTTTCTTTGTCTTTCTTTCACGTCTCCCATGTATCTCTGCAACACTGCATCATTTACTTTCTCTGGCATCAAATCTTTACCCCTGCTATTCGATGTTGTTATGCCTATGAAAGTCTGTTTATATACTACTGATAAATCTTATCAGTAGCACACACCACAATACCGTTTAACTGCGCGATATATCCAATAAATAAACTAATGTGGAATTACATGCTACTCGAGATTTTACACATATATTAAGAACTACGCCTGATATGTTGGTACACGAAATGAGATTCAAGGAAGTGCTTTGATCACTACATTTTGACTATATTAGCTACTGACCAATAAATGCTTGGTGAGGAAATCATGAAAACCACTTTTTTTTCCTTAAAATATTGCGTAGATACGAAATCTTTATTTATTTATTTTTTGGATAGTAATTTTAAGTTTAAAAAGGATAAATTGGTCAGAAATAATTTTGATTCTTGTAGAACGAAAAGTAATGTGTCAGCATCATTGGTCTTATTGATCATGAGAGAATAAAATGGAATATTGGATTTGTATTGATCGACTAACTTGAACCTCTTATTATTTCAAAAACAAAATCAATTATCGATTAACAATTCAGTCAATGAGTACAATTTTAAACTAATCATTATTTTTCGAACTAAGTGATTAGTTGTTTTCTTTTTACTCTTTGCTGTACCCTTGATTTATACAACTTGGAAAGCATTAGGTAATAGTCAATTTCCAACACAACTAGTAAATTATCTGTGCGACCTTAAGAGAACGCTAATCACTTTGTCATACAATCGATCATTGCCTAGTATATGTACACACGGTGAAACACTTCATACATGATTATTATTCAGGTATTTCTTTTACAGAATATCAAATGATTAGCCTAATGCATACTATCTAAATAAGTTATGTTCACTTCAGTAGTCTAGACAGATTTTATGCTATAACTATTATGAACTAAGGAGCCTTGAACAGCTATTATTTCCTAATTCATAGAGCAGTAGATTCCAACCCATCGGGTGGAGGGTTAAGCGTTTACCTAATACTTCTAAGCTATAGCGATAGGTCCCTGATTGTGTTGATGCATTCTCAACGCCAAGAATAATCTTTAACTAGGATGAAATAGCTGTACATTGTCTCTTGATTCTTGGTAATTTTTCAAATGATATTTGGCTGCGATTCAGTCTTTCTAGAAATCAGTTAATTTCTATTATTGTCACTTTTCTTGGCATGTATCTTAGGTTGCCTCAATCATTACTTTGACCAGCTATTTGTATCTCTACTTAATAATGTAAAAATATTCGACTGAAGAGTCCCACGAGATTTATACTTTCACTATTTCTTCCCTTTACACATCTATTGTATATCTAAGGAAAACCTTTTTCCTTATTAATCGTTAAACTTTGGGTTTTTGTTTTTCTCCCTACACGGAATAGAAACGTTAATTAATTAACCGAAGTAGGTTTCAGTTATTTGAGAGTTTTGTTGGAAAATTCTGAGAAAATATGAAGGAGAAGATTACCACTAACCATCTTCTTCACTCAAAAGTTTACCTTCAGTCCATTTTCCAACCCCCACCCCGTCTCCAAGTGAATCTCATATTACGTAATCCTTTATTTTCGGCACAAAAGTCAATTCATTAAAACATTTTTTTCAGAGAAAAGTGAATCAAAGACAGCAAACAAGAGAATATGTTATTTTTTTACAAAAAAGTATTTTACTACTTATTTAGACCTTAATTAATAACTTACCTATTGATATCCACATGATTCTCTGGTCGACTGACTTTTCACTGCTCGTAGAACTGTTGATATTTTGAGACAGCACGTAGTTAAAGTCTACAGACCAGAAAAACATAATAGAATGCTTCATTTAGTTTTTGTATTTTTTTAAAATTTTTTTTATTACAGCTTGATTCCACACCGTTTTTATTTGGTACAGGTATGGAATTTTCAGCATGTGATATCGGTAACCCAAATTTTGCAGGCCGACCATAGATATCAGGTGTGCGTCGGCAGAGGATCGAACCTCGGACCATGTGCATGGTCGGCGAGAGTCCTAACCACTGTGCCACCGACGTACTTGTACCAAATGCACTGTTCGGAATAAAGCTTTCATTATTATTATTAATTTTTTTTAAGTAGCCACTTTTTTAATTATTGCGAAGCATTAGTAATCAATAATCTGAAATCAATGTGAATATGCACTGCACTCAGCATAAAGATTAGATTCTGCTCTTCAGCACTGATGTAAAATCAGATCTTCTGTTTAGTTCAGAGACTTGGTGAGTCACGAAAACTGCTTCCAGTAGCCTACTACAGACTGTTATCGAAAGCTTCCTTCATTCCATACTGAAGATCGGATGATTCTTCGGAAATGATTATCAAGAAGAAAATCTGGCAACTAGCCAATAAATATGCTGAGAAAATTGGTGATAGATCGGACACACTGTGTAAAGTCTGGGTTGGATTCCCGACCGGCACACACTGATCAACCTTGCCTAACCGGTAGTGGTATCGGAAAAGAGGGGAAGCTGTACACCAGGCTAACAACCCTGTCTCATAAAACTAACACCATCGCTATTGAAACTTCAGAAAGCTTGTAGCCTTTTGTTCCAGTCTGCATGCAAAGAATGAAAAAAGAAGAAAAAACTTTAGACTAATCAGCTGACAGACTTTATTGTTCACTATGCTAAATTCTTAAGTTGAAAACAATGGAATGTATTGTATTTATGCATGATAACCTGAGAACATTTGTTCTTTTGCAGTTTACCGTTATTATCACCACATAATTGTTAAGTAGAACGCATCTATTGGGTAAAAGATTAAGTTATCATACTAATATATAGACAGTTGTTTTGCACCGCTTCCATCTTAGCGTTTGATGTCTTTACTTTAAGAACAGGAAGTATCTTGTTTAAACTTAAGAAAACAAAGTCACGATATGAAAATTTACAGGCGGATGTTCTAAAATTATTGTGAGTTCCAAAACTTCTCGTCTAAAACATCACCGTACATTCAATCTTTATTTCTTAATCGGAACTTTTCAACGGAACAATGTGTATAGAACAGTTCCCACTGCCTTATTTGAATGTTTCCATTATGAATGTCTTATTGTTTTGTAATAAGAAGGATAAAAGTCAGTTGCTAAATCTTTTTACAGCCAGCAGGTACTGGTCATTAAGAATATTTAATTTTTTTTAAAAATATTTTGTGTATCAATGAGAGTTTACCAATGTCAAGATCAGTTCTTGTTACAAACTGACATTAGATAAAAGAAACTTGGAAATGACGAAGCAATCAACAGCTGTTTTGTCTTCTTTTGCTGGTTTTTCATTATTTCATAAGCAATAATTTTCAAAAGATTAGGCTCAGTGGCTTAAAAGCAATGTGCTCATCATATGCCTCGCCAGTGTTCTTAGCGTACTACGCCGAACACCTCTAGAGTGTTTTCTGGTCTTCAATGTTTCTTCTCTAGCTGATGTCATTTAGCGAAGAAATTTCCACTGATGTTATTTTTTCCAGTACCTGTCAATGTGATAAAACCTCAATAAGCATTACGAAGTGACATTTCTACTTTTTTTTCTACGGTCATTTGACTGCTAAAAATGTTCTTTTCTGTAAGTAGCATGAAAGATTTCTTGATCACTAATTGAGTTTTACATTTTATCTCCAAGCCATCATTTGCACCCTCAAATGGTGATGATGTGCGACATTCAGTAACATTAATATGAAAAGGGTTTGGTAATAACTTCCTATTTTGACATTTTCCGGTAGACGGGGTAGATGGAATACATCACGTCCACTATTTGAAAAGAGAGTGGAAATCTCCACGTCCTTGGTAAAATTCTAGTTTCTTTTCATTATGGTAATTTGACTTCATACATATCGGTAACAACTTTCGCATTGTTCATTTCATACGCTTCATGTATATGTTTCTGTTACTGTGTTATTTTCATCAACCTTATTGTTTATTACTTTTAGAAAATTGTATCCAGTGTGGTCAGTGTAGTGAATGATACCACAAGATGTGTTCCGTCTAATATCATATAGGCGGTGATGCAAAGCAGCATCACATTGGATATGCAGAAAATGCTATTCAGCTAAGTCCAAACTAATTGAGGAGGCCTAAAATCCGCTCCCTAAACCCATGGAACTTTCTACCAACAATGTAATTCCTGCCTTCTGACTGTGAGACTACAAATGTCATTACGAAGATAACCCCTTTTTTGGTTCCAGGGAACTCAGATGCAACCATTTCCAGTCTTTCGTAAAACTTAAGAAAACTCAGTGAAGGAACATTAACCCGAAATGTTGGCAGTGTTCCGAGCACAGAGCCTCCTGCGGACTCAGTGAATGTTACTCACCTTTCAGTGGTGGTCATAGATGAGTTCAATTGTACAGTTACAGATGGTGGAAAATATGGGGAATGAACTGCAACCTGACAGAGGTTGGGTAACAGTGCACGACCTAAGACAACAAAGGAGCAAGGAGAGTTGCCTCGTATGGATTGAATTAGAAAACTGGACTGGATTCTGTAATTCCATATGCAATGCTATCGACTTATGATGCAGGTGGTGTGGGCAGGCATACTTGGTGATAAGGGTGAAAAAAGTTTTGTGTTAATAAATTCTACTTTTCTAGGATCCAAAATTTTACAAAAAAACAGCCATACTACTGCATATATAATATCAGACGATTGGGATGATCCATTACATTGCACTGGCATTTGGAGAAAAGCAAAGATGAAAGAAATATTCACTCAACTAGAAGCTAGACGTCAAGATTTGGATTCTGTTAGGAAATATTTGGCATTCAGGTAGTCAGGTCTCGAAAGCATACGTTTCCAAGACCTGCATGAATTAACCACATCTTAGATAAACTTAAGCCATATGCGCTAATATATGCAGTACTGGAAATAGACTGTATAAGCTAGGTGTAATATTAAATGAACTGAGACTGAGAGTAAGGGTTAACGGTGTCTTGTCATTACATAACTAGTTAAAAGTGGCCTTACTCAAGGTACAATTCTAGTACCTCTTCTCTTCCTACTATATATATGTAAATAAAGTACTGTTGATAAATAATTCATCCTGTCCAGACCTTGTCGTAAATATTATGCTCTGGAGGGCTTTAAACAATTACAGCATTCGACTTGTTTTGCAAGATTTATATTTTTGTTGTTTGAACGGTATAAGAAAGGGATCTTGTAAATTAATGTAATCAGGAGTTTGCTTATGCATGTCATTCACTCGACAAATTGTGTGACTCTGCCAACAGTTGTTGAGTTTAAGGATTCAGGAGTGGTTATAAGATAAAAGCTGGAAACCACGGTAGAACAATGGCTGCGAAACATTTTAGGACATTTCGGTCACTCCAAATAGTTTTTATTAATTTTGATGATGACGCATTTTGTATATTAAATTCTATCTATATCAGACCTAATTTGGAATAAGTGATATATGTACCCTTCAAGTACGTAGACATCAGAAAATATTCTAACCTTTGGTACTAAAAAGATTAATAGACTCTCAGACCTCTCATACAACGAGTGGTTTGATCGGAGGATGAAAGCTGACGTCTTATTACCACACTGTATCTTGCATAATGATTTGGATGCTAATTTATTCCGATTATTTCGATCACTTGAGAGGACATCAACTAGAAGTTCAGAACCTACTGTCAAATTTTCTACATCGGGAAGTGGGATTCTGTATCCAAGTGTATCGTTATAGCACCTTTTGTTGATTTATTCAAAGCATGACTGGACATCAATTATAATTTATGGCCTAAAGCTTACTATCCATAATAATCTAAAATATGAAATCCAGGAGTGGAATATACTTCGATAAATGAATGTCTTTTTCAAAGAATTTGACTAACTACAATTTAGACAACATTGTATTGTCTCTTTTTTGAATGACAATATCAAAAATTCAAAAGAAAATAAGCAATGATCTTATATTTCTCTTATTTTACCAAATATTGATTGCCCTCATGTAATCTACTGGCAAAATGTTCCGGAAATGTCTATAAATTAGTTAAAATAGTAGTCAGTTTACGTTGAACATTTTCAGTGTAATATGATAAGAATTACGGAAAGTAAAACGAAACTGCTAATTTTTTTTTATAATACAAATCATTTATTGTTGTAGTCTGAAATCTAATTGAAATTTTGTCGAAAACTCTACATTAAGTGGTGGTTTTGTGTGTTATTAGACAGGACATTGTTATGAGTAGAAACTTTCAGAAGTATGCTCTATTCTCATCTCCAATAAGTGATACAGTGAAACTATTTAGCAACTGTTCATATTTGTTAGCTAATTATCAGAGAGATATGTCAGCAACACACAAAGTCCATCGACACGATATTATCTCACATGGTTTTATCATAAATTACTCAAGACATTCAGTAATTACAATCTTTAAAGACTTTACTAAATGGTGGGTGATGAATGTGCTTTGGGTCACTTAAAATACGTCAAGTTTTCACGATCAACTTACGATCCATCTCTGGTGTTTGTGTTAAAAAAGAAACGATTTAGCTCATTCCAAATGCATAATACCACATGATGATAATCTGTTATATCTAAGATCAGACACACTATAACTTAAGTTAACAAAACCTTAAAAACTTCAAAGCTTTTTTAACAGGAGAAGTCAAGACACGGAAGCCAAGGTATATTTTATAACCTATACAGTTTTATATTCTTTAACCAATTACTGACAGTGTGATTTTGGTTTATATTAAACGACATGAAATAAAATCTGTCTGTCTGTCTGTTTTCGACATAGAACTTTGCACATATGTGCGGCAGTTCAAGTCGCCACACTCCATGTAGCGCACAAAGCAAGAGAAGAAAGTAGGAGAAATGCATAATATAGACAGTAAACAGAGGTGTGAGACAAAGGAATAGTAATAACGGAGAACGAAACAGTTTCATTGGAAATCATGAGTCACAAGGAATGGATGCATCTGCGCCATCACTGAGAACGATTTTGAGCTATGTCACCAATTGTTTCCAACCATTGGTTTTTACCGTCCCGAGCACCCCAACCAGGAAGTCTACACCTTCCCACGTGGCTTAGACTGACTGTTGTAGATTTCATTGACTGGCCTAAGCCCCTTCCTAGTGGTTAGCAGGCATTGTAACATTGGACCATTGATGCTTAATTAAGACACTAATCATTCAGAAATCCAGTGTTTTGACAAGGGGAATACATAATCAGTATCCTACTTCTTTGAAAACAGAGACAACTAAGTGTATTTTAAGCAACTTGATATGCTGAGAAATACTTCATTTGAGTGTATAACCCGTGTGAAGATATTATACTTTAAAACTACCTATGTGTGACAGTGAAATAAACGCTTTCTTGATGATGCAAACATTCAGAAAAGAATTCTTTTTACGTTCCCTCTGTAACATACGGGCTCCAAGCTAGAGCTTTGAGGTTACGGTAGGAGTGGTATTTATTGTACGGGATGGGGTTGGTAGTCTCAAGACCAACCTAACCGCTTTACTAGTCCAATTTTCGGCTAAGCGAGGTAAAGGAGTGAGTTGGTCAGGGATCGAACCCTGAACCACCTGGGTGTTTGGCGAGCATTCTGCCGCTGTGCCACCGACGCGTAATGCTAACATCATTGTTCTTAAATGAGTACAGAGATTTTCAAAAAAATAAATAAATTACTCCATTTCCCTAGTTTATTGATAATTATTGTCAAGAGGATTGTTTCACCTGAAATTTGTCCTTCCCAGTTTGGTAAGAAAAATTTTCAAATCTGTCGAAATTCAGAATGACAACTGATAGTTTGATTTATAGTCTGAAGAAGTGACATATTTCACTTGCTTTTCTTTTGTAAAGTTACACAGAAACAAAACAAAAAATGCTCACTACATTTTTTGAAAATATTTAACAACCTAATGTGCCTGTTTATTGCTAGTTAAGGTATTCAGTAATTCTGTGTTATAAATAACTTCAGATTTGTTTCGCGACAAACTGGCATCATATGGAAGAAGTGTCAGAAGGCATAGAAGGCAGTTTTCAACAGAGGGAGTCGGTGAATTTACGAGATATTAGTCTCAGAACTGTCAGATTATCATATGTACACATTGCTCATTCACGGTTATGAAGAGTGATAAGTAAGTACCGTTTACCCGAACATTTAGGTAACTTTTTATTGTAAAACCTCGGAAGGTAATAATGAAACCTGAATAATACAATAACTTATTATAAAAGCTATTGACAGTGTCATTCTTAACAAACAATTCCACTTTACTGGTCTAATAAAAACAAAGGCACAATTCTGAGTGGATGAATAATAAACGTGATCCCTTCTTAACTTGAATGTTCTCAGATCGTTTCTTATGAACTGCTAAAAATTTCAAATTAGGACAGGACAGCTGTCAAGTACTTTTGAGTTTATCTGTTTCTTTAACTGATGTTGCCTCTTGATTATATCTACTTTTAAACCAACTAAATTCTCACAAACTCAGCATTCGAATTGAATAGGCAGTGGATGGGCTGTGGTTTTAAGCGGATTCGTGACGTTTTTGAGGTCTGTTAACTTTGGTTTAAGTACGAGAATACACTGGTGATTTTGGTGGCTGGTAATGGTACACCACGAATTAATAACAGTTAAAATCCATAGGCTGTTAGATTCCGTCCCACAAACAGAAAGTCCTGAGTTCGATTCCTGGTGGGATTATCAGTGCGTACTACTGAAGAATTCCAAACTGAGATGAAACAGCTCTCCAGTACCAGCTAGATTTCAGTTGTTCTGTTAACCGGTAGCTGGTTCAAAATCTGCTACACTGCAAGTATTCACTTCTATACTTCATTTACCGTTGTGCTGAACATCAGCTCAACTTAAAAAGTTTACCATAGCATGAAAATAGAAACTTACACAAGAAAAAAAAACACGAAAGACTTACTGTAAGCTATGCAGATTACAAATATATGGAATGAAAATAATAAATTCCATTTCAGTGGATATAATGAAGACATTTTATTTGCAAATATAATGAGTAATGTTCAGATTTATTTAATTGATTATTCTAAGTAGAGACATATTCACATCATTTGCATTTAATAATATGAGTGATTTGTAATCGAAACAGATGTTGAAGTGCGCTCACAAAATAACAAAGTGATTACTATTTCAATAATCCAGAACACAAAACAATTCAGTCAAATTGAAATCAGATAGCTGATTCTATTGGTATAGGCACATAAGTGGAGTTTAATTTTCCTTGAGGAAAATAATATTTAAGTTTTTTTTCTTCTTATCAAATAAGAATACAGACATACAACTGTATAGACATGCTCGCATTGGATTGGTGAAATAATTACACATATTTTGAAGTCCTAGATTATAATTATAATTCCCAAATAGTAGAATAATTAATCAAGAAGTCTTGCACTGAACCAATCATCCACTGACACTTCTGTATATGACGTAATTGATTAATAGGCACACACACACACACGCATACATACACGCCCCAGCAAAACAAACTTGATAGTTTAGAATTAATGTAGGTATGGGAAATTTTGTGGTTTAATTAAAGAATAACTGTCAAAAGATTATTAATTGCTTATGGCGATCAGAATATTAGTTATGATATGTTAGTTAAAATTTCAATTTTATTGCCATGACAAATGTAAATAACGCTAAGTATAAATTTTATGACTTTAGGTGCATTTTATGCCTAGAAATATTTTTACATACTGATTTTTGTCATTTAGTTTAAAGTATTTATTTCCTCTTGGAATTTGAACCTTCAGTCGATAATGAAGTAGGATAGAGACAGACCTAGAGACCCAGTCTTCTGCATCATTGCTGAATGTTTCTGATTTCTTAACTTATCAGAAGTTAAGAAATTAAGTTCTGTATAACATTGCGACCTGTTGTACTTCTAGTCATTGTACACTAACAATTATAAACAATAATATATTAATTTGTTGTAACTATCTGATCATTAAACGGCAATTAAGCAATCAGATTTCGTTGGTATATAAACTTTGCACTGACAGTTAATTGGCTTTCCTCTTACCTTTGCCTTCATTCAATATTAATGAGGGCTAGAATTTTAAAAGCGCCTTTTACTTCCCAAAAACTAAACAGCCTACATAAATCTCAGCTATAACTCTGACCCCTGTCGATTTCACTTAAACCTGCATCTCACATATACCATAGAGTTTGACAACATTTATTGACAGTTTACCTGCTTCATTGGTGAATAATATTTATAAAATTATCGCCACAGGAATGTTGATGGATTCGTTAGACTAAGTAATGTTATACAACGGTTAATAATCTAAGTCGCGTTTGACTTTTATGTTCTACATAACAAGTATTAAATTATTTTACTAATTAGAAGTGCTCTTAAAAACTGTTGGTTTTCTGTCGAATAAGCTTCAGTAAGTGTTAGTAATAACAGTATTTAAATAAGGCATCAGCCAATGAAGATGTCATATGCTACATATATCAAATATGTCAATTGGGTTGTATGTAAGGGCAGATAATCAGGAGACTTTAACGATCAACCACTTTTATTTCAGCATCACCTACACTACACCTGACTATACTTAGAAAAAAGAAAATAATTCCTAAACACAGGGACTATGAAGTCAGAGTATAGTGCATTAAAAAGCCTACTAAGTATGTAAAGAAACATCAGGTAATTGGTGCTTTGTTGAAAACCGAAATCCAATTAGTAATATTTATCAGGAGGTACATTTTCTAGTTATAATATGATGAATATCCTATTGTGATTACAATTCTTCCGTCGTCAATGCTTTTAAGCAGGCTGCATATTGTGATTCTTTTTTTTAAATTATAATAAAGGTTTTTGTATTTCCCAATGAATGAAAAACGAAACGATATTGTTTTTACTGAAGTTTCGCTATCTAATGCTAATAGCTTAATTAAAGCATTATTAAACCGGAATTTACAAAATCTCAGCATATATATATATATATAAGGGGTGAGAAAATAGACTTAGGTCAAGTTAAAAGGACATATTGAAAGTCAAAATAACAATGAAGATAACTAAACTAAATAACAAAAGTAATAGTACATCTGTTATGGTGTCAAAACAAAGTTTACTAACTTGATCATCGTTCGTCAGTCTGGGGTCAGTTCTCGTTGTCAAGTTGGTCAATTGGTAAAGATAACAAAACCAAGTGTACATTGTTGGATTTGATCAGTGTGTAAAATTATAAAAGCAGTGTGTGTTTACATAGTGAACTTGCATATCACATTCGTGTTGATTTCGTCACTTCATGGGGGAGGGAGGTGTTGCAACCAGGTCAGATTCTGTTCTAGTCCATCATTCCTATTCAGGCAATTTGGATTCCACTTGATATGAAGTGCTTCTGATATTAGACGTTCTTTATGATTTCTGAAGTTTTTCTGGATTATTTCAATATTTTTACGAGTTGATCACGGATTGATATCAGTTAGAGAAACACTGAAAACCAAGGAGTACGGGACAGCTGTTTCATCCTAGTTTGGGAATCGTCGGCAGGTCCTGGGTTCGAATCCCAGTGGGTGCGTACTGCCGATGATTCCCGAACTAGGATGAAACAGCTGTCCCGTACTCCTTGGTTTTCAATGGTTCTCTCAATTTTGTGGCCTGATTCTATAGCGTGTAGACCCTTAACTCTTTTTTATATATATGCTGAGGTTTTGTAAATTCCGGTTTAATAATACTTTGATAAATCTATTAGCATTAAATAGCGAAACTTCAGTAAAAACAAGATCGTTTCGTTTTTCATTCATTGGGAAATACAAAAACCTTTATTATAATGAATATCATATACCCAATACCCAAATTTTTTCAAACTGTTAAAAGTGAACTTGGTTTGGACATATATAACACAATAAAGAAATTATTATGGTCTTTCTGAAGTCGTCACTCGACGCACTATTTTTATCTATGTATTAGCAGGGCACACCACAGTATTAATATTATTAGTAGTAGTCGATTATTTTAAATACATTTTTTGTCTTCGGTAATAATTACCATTCAGTTGAGCGACTTCTACAAAGATGTGGATGGTCTGTTTTCAGTTATGAATTAAGAATGTATGGCTTAAGACAGTGAGTGCTCTATTGAACTAACTTATACGACAAAACCCAAATTCTTTTCAGTTATACCTTTCGACTAATAGACCAGTAATGTTGATAAAAATTATACCAGTTAAACTAGATTATAAGAAAAAAATTTTTTTTAATATTTCATTGCTGACAACTTGAGTTTAAACGAAGGCGGTGGTTTGTTTACATGACAACAGACAACTTTATTCGATGATATTATTATCATTATTTGTTTGCTTTGTTTTCCTATAAACTAGTCATCACACAAAAAAGCCAATCGATTTCCTTTTTAAATTGACATGTTCGTTATCGATTACCAAGAATGTTTAGTATTATTTACGACTGAGACAGAATATCCCAGTTAAATGGTTAACTAACATATACACAAACATATACACATACAAACATACATTTTAAAAATACGGTTCAGGTTGTATAGGACACATTGTAAGTAAATGTATTTTTAATCATTGATCCAAGTGTTTACCTTCTCTACGAATTATGTGGGATGAAGATTACGCCTTTTAACTGACAGAAGAAACAATGAGTAGTTGTTTTGGCGGAAAAGATCATTGATCTTTCTAAAAAATATAAATATTTTCGGCAGTGGGGCGTATAGTTAATTTAATAAATGCTGGTGGACATTTTAGTTGTACATGCATTATGATCCGATTGTGCATATTGAAATATTTTTATTCTTATGAGTCAGTTGTTACGGTTCCATTATGTTATACTGAGTATAAATCCTTTCCCTATTTACGGTTTATTTTATGCATCCAGTGACAAAGTAAACAAATATTTCAAAACAAATCTTGTATTTATTTATAAAACTTAAGATTTTCTTGCTTCCAACAGACATCTGAGGAGTTATGCAACTAGATTAAACTTCATCAAGCAATACATTGACAGAACCAGGATTCAATGATTCCAGCCCGAGTGGTTGAATGGTCAAATAGCTGGCCTCATAACTTGAAAATCATGGGTTTTATCCCTGATGGCGTCATGAGTGATCACTGGAGAAGAGTTTCAAACTATGACGAAACAGCTGTCCAGTCCTCTCTGGTTCTTAGTGATTTTCTAACTGACGTTGGTTAGCAAGGAAGTCTAAATTAAAAGTGTGTATTTTTATTGGAGAGAATGAGTATGAATGAACCAGACGTCCAAAGCTTCCAATGAGATGACTGTATTCTCTTAATGATAGATTATGCGTCATACCATGCACAAGGAGTGAGAAGAGAGGAATACTCTGCACCACTGATAAGAAGACTCTAGAAGATCTGGATTTCGCAGATTACGTATGTATAATGTCACACAAAATCGAAGACTTATAGGCGAAAACCAACAAACTCGCTGAAGAAGCAGCCAGAGAAGGCAAGACTCCAGGGGAACATAGAGAAGACGGAGGTGATGAAGATAACCAACGAACAGCAACGACAACAACAACAACCAGCACCAATCACCATCAAAGGGAGATATTTGACAGAGGTTACCTCCTTCACTTATCCACTCAGACAGCATCGTTTTAACCACAGGCAGGACGGATGAAGATGTGAAGGGCAGCCAGAATCGGAAAGGAAGGATACACCTTCATCAACCGGAAACCAGTTTGGAAATCGTCTGCACTCCGCCTCACCATAAAGAACAAGATTCGGATTCTGCTCAACACTAATGTTAATTGAGTCAGTTCTTCTATATAGATCAGAAACTTGCACTGCGTGTAACCAAAAGGATTCCCAACAGGCCGCTGCAGACTTTTATCAACAGCTGCCTTCTCTGACTCCATACTGAGGATCAAATGGCTAGCCAGAAAGAATAAGCGACAAGAAACTATGGGAACAAAATAACGAAGAGCCGATCACTCAACAATTATGTAGGAGAAAATGGAGATGGATCGGGCATACACCACTGAGGAGGCCGTCGAATGACATCGCGTGCAATGGAGGCGATTGCTCGAGTGGAATCTAAATGGGAAGAGACGAGTGGGTCGTCCTAGGGTGACATGAAGGAGATCTTGAGAGTAAGAGATGAGAGTTTGGGAAACCGTGGACTTAGTTGAAGAGAATGGCAGATAATAGAAGTGGAGATGTGTTGTTGAAGCCCTATGTTCCACTTGAA